ATGGAAAGGAGCGTGCAGCAAGGAAATGGACAATCTGCGGAAACACAACGTCGACAATCTGGTCCCCCTCAACAGTGTTCCGAAGGGAGAGAAGGTCCTTGGAACGAAATTCGTCTTCAACAAAAAGCTGGACGGACGCTTCAAAGCTCGCCTGGTAGTCGGTGGACATCGTCAAGAGCCAGGACAGGACTACGGACGCAGCTACGCACCAGTATGCCGTATCGGGAGCATTCGCATGACGTGCGCCATTGGCTGCCACAACAACTGGCCCATCTACCAACTGGACGTTGTCGGTGCCTTCCTGAACGCCCTCTGCGACAGAGATGTGTACGTCAGACCCGCCCCCGGTACATCCGCCAAGAACTCCGCGACGGGAGAACCCATGGTGTACAAACTAGAACGGAGCCTCTACGGCCTATCGCAGTCGCCTGCGCTCTGGAACGACACCCTGGACGAATCCCTCACGGTGTTCGGATGGAAAAGGACTCAATCCGACCCCTGCGTGTACGTGTATACCAGCGGCAACATCATCGTGATTCTCACGGTCTACGTAGACGACATTCTCATCATAGGAGGAGACCAGCAGCTCGTGGACCAGAAGAAGAAGGAGCTCACGGATCGATTCGAGATGACTGACATGGGAGAGGTAAAGCGGATCCTCGGGATCGACGTGCAGCGAGACTACGAGCAAGGAACCCTGGCCATTTCACAGGAGCACTACGTGAACACACTTCTGGAGCGGTTCGGAATGCAAGAGGCCAACCCAGTGAGCACTCCTGGATACGGAGCGGAAATCTCCACGAATCAACCTCAGGACCAAATCCTAGGACCCACGGACAAGAAAATTTACCAGTCGATGACAGGAAGCATCCTCTACCTGGCCCAGTGCACGCGATTCGACCTCTCCTACGCTGCCCTACAACTTTCCAAGGCCTGCAGCAACCCAGCGCAGGTGAACATGACAGCAGCCAAGCACGTTCTGCGATACCTTCGGGGTAATCCAGTTCTTCCTATCGTCTACAAGAGAGGACAGTTTCGGCTAGCGGCGTTTACGGATTCATCCTTCGGAGCAAACCCCGACAACGGAAGATCTACCACGGGATATCTCTTCTTTCTGGCTGGAGGACTCATCAGCTACGGTGCGAAGACTCAAACTCTAACCGCGCAAAGCACGGTCGAAGCCGAGATTCAAGCACTTAGCTACTCAGCCAGAGAGGCGGTCTACATCTCAAATTTTATGACGGAACTCAACTTCAAGACCTTCGGATCGGTTCCCATCAACAGCGACAGCACCGGAGCGCTGACAGTGGCCGGGAATGCCATGCACTCTCAACGCACGAAGCACGTGGCCCTGAGGTACTTTTTCATCCGGGAGCTAGTACTACGGGGACAAATCACTCTTCACCACCGGCCCAGCGAGCACCAGTTGGCTGATATCGCGACCAAGTACCTCCCAAAGCACCGATTCGCCTCCATCATTCAGCAGATTAAGGACTTCTCGTGTTGATCGAAGATCTGTGAAGCTCCCTTCCATACCAGAAGGAATTTATTTTCGATACGGTGCCAACGGAGGGGTCGAGGTAGACAAGGATATGGTGATGCCGTCGACCATTGTGAATTAGTTGCTTGATCGAGGGGTCGTGTCAGGAAAATCGTGCGTCGAGACCACCAGTAGTCGGACACGGTTTGACCTTTGAATACGATTGCAGCAACTAGTCTGCGTAGCAGTAGAAAAGTTTCCATCTCTCCTTGGCATGTATTCTCTTGTTCTAGAAATATTCCGAAAGCATGCTAGGTCAAGGTTGACCGGGACATCTATGTAGAACGTGTGTAGCTTCTGGAAGCCTTCTGGAAACTTCTGGTTCCTCCTGTAGCCTCTGGAAGTCTTTCTGGAAACTTCTGGTTCCTTCTGTAAGCTTCTGGAAGCGTTCTAGATCTAGGTTGCAGTTGATACTCTTCTAGAACGTAGGAGGGCTTCCAGAAATCATTCTGGACGCATTCTGGATCTTTCGTGTGATTGGCTTATTTGTCCGGTATTCGAGAAGAGTGGTGCAGCCCTAAGCTCGCCCACTCCTCTCACTCCTCTTCAGTACCAGCAACATCAATCTGACTCGGGAGTCAGCAATTAATCTTCATATTTCCATTCCAAGTCTCTCGCGGTTGGAGCCGCACAGAGTGTGAACCTCTGAGGTAGGCTTCACAGCCTCCTGGTATCTGCAGCATCGTGCTGCTGCTAGATCACAGCGAAATATCGCTGACAACCAAGGGCACGAAGCTTGAACAATGCAGTGGGTCCGCCAAAATGTTGCGACATGACGGAATCAAAAATCGCTTTTTTTTGCAGCAGGTTTGAATGCATGAATGAATGCTACACGGGCAAAATATTGAGATATTTACAACGTGAGACGAAAAAATATGCCACCATGTTACACCAGAAGTCTGCCCATCTGCCGCCTATTTGTCCTGTTTGCTCTGTTACTCCCATGCCCTGGTGCTTAGTGCCTGGTGCTGGTACGTTACCCTTTGATTTTTTCTTTGGGCGGGTGTGGGAAGCGTCCTCCTTTATTTTTGTTTTTGTCTTTTTTTGATCGGCTTCCGAGGGCTCTTTTCTCGAACGCCGTTACGATCGGTGCGATACCTGTTCTTTTCTATCATTTTGTTTTCTTTTTCCGAGTGGTTTGTACCCTATTTTTGTTTTGTTTCCCCGCGGCGTTGTATGTGCCGGGTGTTGAGACCACGGGCTCCCCATTTTTTGTGGACTATAGAGCTAATAATGTGAGAAACAACAACAACAACAACAACTAGAAAAACTGTGCACGTGGAAGTAAATGTAGCGCCTTTCCGATGGCTGACTACAAAGAAACTCCCCCCTCCCTGAATCAGCAGTTACATGTTTTCTTTTTCCGAGTGGTTTGTACCCTATTTTTGTTTTGTTTCCCCGCGGCGTCGTATGTGCCGGGTTTTCAGACCACGGGCTCCCCTTTTTTTGTGGAATATAGAGCTAATAATGTGAGAAACAACAACAACAACAACCACAAACAGACTTACGGGAAAAATGGGAACGTACCCAAAAAGGAGAATGGGCGTTTGTTTTTAGAAAGCAAACCACGCCTTTGCAACTCCCCCCAAAAAAGTTGACAGTGCTGTAGGTCTTTACAGCAGCTTTCGAATGAGCTGTTGCTCAAGCTGTATGTCCTCGGCATCGCCGAGGTAGCCAGCATCGCGAGAAATCAGGTCGAAACCAGCACGAATCGCTTTTTGCGCCCGTGAGAAGGCGTGATGTGGAGCATGGCGGTTCTGATGAGCTCATCTCACAGCTGGGGCGAAGGGGTTTCGCAGGATAATTTCGTTCTGTGATACACCCGATGGTTCTGAAGAAAAACGCCAATTCTCATTTTTGGATACGTTCCGATTTTTCCCGCAAGTCTGTTAACAACAACTTCTATTGTTGTTGTTGGTGCTGTCTTCACATTAAACCGAATGTCAGTTGCTAAATGCCAAAAAGACTCTTAGCCCGTGGTCACGAAAGTGCTGGAGTCATCTGAGGATCTAAAGAACACGCACAC